GAAGCCAGTTCTTGAGAATCTTCAGGATCTTTCTCATCTATTGCTCCTAGAGAGCTGGGGTCAGGGCCCTGACAACTTCAGGAAATGGGCTAACAGAGGAAAGAAGCAGATATTTTTACAATGATGCAGGATTTCTAGCTGGTGATAATGTGATGAGTAAGATGATGGCAGCATGCCAGTGAGGGAGACGGTGCCAAGAGACGATCAGAATTTGGTGATCGAGTTGCTGCCTCCTCCTTTTGCATAGTGCAGGGAAGGAAAGAGAGGCTAGGCCAAAATATACAGGGGGAATCCGGAAAGGTCCCGGCTACAAGAATTCTGCTCTGCCTTACTTCTATGATGGTAAGATTCATCGGGGCTCACGAGTTTCCTTTGTAAAAGGTGAGTACCCCCTGGATGTATTCTTGCTTTAAGTAGATTACTTGCACCCGGCCGAGCTCCTCCTGAAACTTCCAAGAGGGCAGCCGGCCTAGAGAATGTGAATTCTGGTGGAGTCGTACAACTAGGAAATGCTGAGTTGTGATTCATTTTGTGGGAGGGGAGCTGGGATTTTGCACATTCAGAAGGTTGCCTAGGGTACCACCCTGTGTCTGGGGGTGGGGGTGAGTGGGGAAGAAGGGAGGGGCCGTTTACCTGTGTCCGGTCATCTCCCTGCTTTCTCCATTGGGCTCCCTCCCTTCTCCCACTGCTTTTTGGCTGGGCCTACTCCCACTCATTCTTTAGGATCCACACCTCCTTCCCAGCGTCGCCCAAGGAGCCTTGGCAGCTCCATCCTTTGGGCCCTCAGGGTTGTTTATATACATATTTCACTCTGATCTGTTTATAGCTACGTTTCTCCCACAGACCATGAGTTCTTTGAAAGCAAGGATCCATGTATTCACTTAGCATCTAACAGAGTACACAATAGGACTCACGATGCACAGGTGATGCTATGCACACGATGAATGGATTGATAACAATTAAAATCCTTCAGACCTTGGTTAAATAAATGATCGATCGGTGTTGATAAAATAGGTTTCTCATACGATAAAGGCGTTTCTGAATGGCGTGGGGGAGGCTATGTGCTATTTTTGTGTTACTTTTGTATTCATGAAAGCAGGCTCCTTTCATGCTTTTCTGAATTAAACTGCTGTCCAGTCAGTTACTGAAAACAAAAAGTATTTTTTCATTCACCCAAATCAGACCAAATTAATGAAGATCACCAAAACCGTGCAAGCGGACTGTTTCACTAAGGTTTCTGGTTTAAGCAGAGGCCAGCAAGAAGTAAACATTTGAAAATCCCCAGAAGAGGGGCACCTGCCTGGCTCAGTCAGTGGAGCGTGTGACTCTTGATCTGGGGGGTCATGAGTTCGAGGCCCACGTTGGGTGTAGAGATTATTAAAAAATAAATAAACTTAAGAAAAAAAAATCCCCAGAAGGGAAACTGTAGAAAGAATACCCTACTAATTACAGGAGATTATATGGACCCCCAAATCACAAGGGTGGCCAGGCAAATTTGGGGAAATTTGATGCATCATTTTACACATTCTAGAAGAATTTTTAAAATGTAACCTTCAGTGGGTGCACGGTTTGGTGAATTCAGCACACTCCTTTGCTGCTCGTATTGCAGATTGGCCTAACTCTTTGGGAAAGCAGAATGACAGTATGTATGAGAAGCCAGAAAGAAGTTCCATAATCTAACTCCTGGAAATTTATCCCAAAGCAATACATGAAAAGAAGAAAACTTATACGCTTGAAAATGTATGTTGTTCTGGTAATAAGGGTGCCCTCTCTCTGCTAGTCCAGTTGGTCTCCATCACCCTTTCAGGCATGGGATGATGGTGCCTCGGGGCTCCCAGTGTCCTGGGGGCCTCCCAGGGAGGTACCCTCAACAGACACCTGTAAAGCGTTGGGTCTCCCGCAAGCCCGATGAATCAGAGCTGTGGATGCAGGTGACACCCCACTCCCCTCAGAGCAGACCAAGGATTCACCTTGGCTCCTGGCTGTGGTGCCTCATTTTATGTGCCATCCCTCTGGGTCCCTCCCCATTTTTCCAGTCCGCTAGTTCCCACCTGTACCATCTGGAGGCTCCTTAGAACTTGAGTCCATGGTTCTTCTTGGTATATAGCCCCCAGAGCATTCTGAGGCTTTTAGGGAGACAATAATTGCTGATTAAACCAGAATCCAAAGCCTTAGCAACCAAACCAACCCCTATCCAACCAACCCAACCGAACAAAAACCTTTTACTTCCCATTCAGAGAGGGTTGGGAGAAGGCAGGTGTTTCGAAAAAGAATGTAAAACCATTTAACAAAAAAACCAAAGGAATTTTAGTTAAGGTTCCTTAAGAAAAGTAAAAACTAAAAAAAAAAAAAAAAAAAAAAAAATTAGAAAAACAAATATTGCCAAAATCTTTAGAAATGGAGACAACCTCCAATAGGGGATTGATGAGTAAAATTAGTGGTCCTCAAACATTTCTGCTTACTACATGAAATACTGTTTACCCTCTTGCATATTTTTAGGTTAACATTTAAAATTTTTCATCATAAGTTTAAGTAGTTGCAAAGGAGGCAATTTCCTGCATACTATAAACATTGACATTTTAAAATGGCATAGTCACTCTCTTAAATGAATCCAATAAAATGTAAACACCAGAGCGATTATGCCTACTATTCACCATTTTAAAAATATATGAAAAGCCTCTTCTTTACCTACAGTATAGTCTGCCTAGTTTATTTTTCTCTTTACACTATAACTCCATTCCATATTCTCACCCCTCAGGATTATATCTAATTTCCTGTATTTCTGTGTTTGAATGTATTTTTGCTATCACCCTACTATACTTCTCTGCAATGAAAAGATATATACATTTAAATTTCAATTTTTAATTTTCCTGTGGCTAAGTGCTGAAACATTTTCTTCTAGATTGAGATATATTTATTAGTAATAATCAAGTACTCAAAATAATATAAAATATATTACAAAGTTTTTAAATTATTAGACATAATTTTTTTTACAATTACTGCATGTATTTGTTGAATACTACTTCTTACAAGAAAGATATAGTTTAGCATCAATGTTTTGTTTTTCATTTTTGTAAATTTTAAGAATGTTTTTACCATTACTAAGTAGGTGGGGTTGTAAGGTGTTCTGAACTTTTCAATTCTTTGAACTCCTTCTAATTTATATACTCATTTAGTGATCTTAAGGTCATCCTTTATTGAAAGCAATTATTTGGAAATCATATGACTTGCAGAAGAACTTGTTACACAGCCATTAGAAGTATATACTTTCTCAACACAGTCCAGTATTTTAAGTTGATAAAAAACTGACAAAGGTTCCCTGAAGTTTTTACACCCTGGAATAATGCACCCTTTTAAGGTTCTCAGTGAATGAGAGTTATGCCACCCCCCTTTTTTTGCAATTTGGAAAATATAAGGCTATGGTGATACAGTTGGGAAAGGAAACACAGAGACACCTTGACTGCATTCTCTAAAACAGCAAATCAGTTTCTGGAAATAATATAGATGCAAGTTGAAGGTTCATAAACAAGTGGTCTTAAAATGATCTTAAGTGTGCACCTACCCCTTGAAAATCCCCTGGGGGAGTGCACATCTCAGGTTGCAGGCCACTTATATCATCTTATTGAATTTGGTAAGAGAGACAGGTCAGCTCAGGCTAGGTCTTGGTTGGGATTTTGTAACTGGGATTTTGTAATTTTGTACCTTGGGAGTGTAGAACTGTGACCTGCACACTAAGGATAAAACGGCCAGTTTTCTGGGTTGGTAGATTGTTAAAGAAGCCTGCCCTGATCTTTTATATTCTGTTCTATATTTTCTTCTCAATGCTAGTAACCCGAACTTCAATTTTGGGGTACCAGTGTGGAGCCTGTATACTGACTACCTAAATAAAAAATGATTAAGACTGTAAAAACATGAGAAATCTTTATAGAGTATGGTAAGGGAAAAAAGCAAAATATGTAGTTGTATGAAAATCAGGACTTCAATTATGCAAAACTACATCAACTACAAAACTACATAAATTTCTCGACAACACTGTGAGTCAATAAGCAAAAATGAAGTTGTGATGTGTGAAATGTCTTTTAAAATAATGATTACCTTTGTGAGGCTGGGGTCAGATAATCTGTCTAATCTAATATTCTCTTTTTCCCCAGTGGTACCCAAGGAGTTGGGTGCAAGTTTAAGTTCCCCAAAATAAAGCTTTCAAGAGATGGATGATCAGTTTTTCAAACACTATTTTCTCAACACGATTCACTATGGGCGTCATTCCCCAAACGTGCTTACACTCTTCTTCAAGTGGTTTAATACATCCCATGTCTTAACGTCATAAATTTGGTAAGTTTCCTTCCTGCTCTATGATATACTCTTTATTCATATTAACGTTTTAGCTTTCTTTCATTTCCTGGTTTTATAACGTTGGAAGAGTTCAGGAGCTCGACCTTGTTGACTTAACGCGGCTCTGAAATATTACCACTTTTCGTAAATTTTTACTCTGTAGAGTCCTTATTTAAAAAAAAGAACAAGTCATGATTGGCAGCCTCCCAAACGAATCTTTTTTCTCAAATTTGTTTCTAGTGTTTTTCTCGTTTTGTTTTTCCAAGATCTAAGCGCTCGGTGTATTTCCACCAAAAGGAGAGAGGAGGGTAGTCCGAGAGTATTTATGGGTGCGAGGGAGTAATAACAGCCACCACCCTTCTGGAAGTTCTGGCCGTGGGACCCGAAGGTCCCGCAAACCGGCCTCCCGAAACAGGCGCGGGCAAGCGGGAGCGGAGAAGCCCGCGAGATACTCGCACCGCCACCGCCACGGACCCGGGTCGCCCCGTTTGCGGCGTGGCCCCGCCCCCTCGGGGCGCCCCGCCCCGCGGCGTGCCTCACGCTGGTGCGTCCTCCGCCGGGCTCGCGGCCCCGCCCCCTGCGGCCCCGCCCCGCCCCGCCCCTACGCGGTTGCTCGCGGCGACCGCCGCCCTCCCCCGGCCCAATGGCGCGGCTGCCGCGTCAGTGATGTGAAACCTCGCTCAGGCTTGTCCGGCCCCCGGCCCGCAGCCCATTACACCATCCGCCGCGGCATCCGCTGCAGCTGCTGTAGCCCGCGCAGACAGGGAGGGCGGGAGGCGGCTCGGCGTGGCGGGGCGGGGCGAACGGCGCGGCCGGATTCATTCCTGTGGGGCGCGGGGCATGGAGGAGCTGTGCGGCTGCAGGCGGAGCAGGCCGGCCCGGGCGGCGGCGCGGACAACGGTTTCCATTTAAGGGGGGCGGCCCGAGCCCGAGCGGCCAGCGGCGGCGGAGAGGACCAGCCCCCGGGCAGGTAGTGGCGGCGGCGGGGGGCCCGCCGGAGCCCGGGCTGCGGCCTGAGGCGCCCGCGGGGAGGCCCTGGCGGGAAGGGGAAGGAGGGAGCCCCCGGCAGAGGAAGGCGGCCGCAGGGCTGGAGGCCCCAGGCTCGGCGGCCGCCCGGGCAGGGGTCGTGGTCGCTCGGGGAGGGACCGCCCGGGTCTGGCGAAGGTGGCGGTGAAGGTTATGGAGGGGGCGACGGTGGTCGGAGGAACCTGCGATCCCTGGCGGGGAGGGGGCGGGGGGGGGCATCAAAATGGGGCGGGCGAAGTTCGCTACAAGGCGGCCGGATTTCCTGAGAGCCTCGAGTAGTTTTAAAGGAAAGAGAAGCTTTAGGGCGAGGGCTTTGGCGTTAGCTGGCCGCGGTTTGCTGTGTCCGACCTTTTTGTTCCTTCTCGAAACCCATTCTGGGCACCGCGAGGCCTTCGCGCCCTTGGCTCGCTCTCTGCAGATGGGAGAGAGAGAAACATTTCTGAACCCGCGCGTCTCTTGCCTCTTTCGGTTGTACTCTCCCTGGGCGTGTGCAAAGCAAAAACTAGAACAAAGCTAGGCTGGTTAGGGAGGCGAGAAAACCAGTTGCCTGTAGTGTTTCAGTTTACCGTGTACAGAAAAGAAACGGCCTGCCACCAAAACGTTTGGGGTCGGTGTGCACCTTTTTGTATTCTTTCCCACCGTGTTTGGGTGGCTTGAGTAGTCCCTAAAGTATGCCGCCCCCCGCCAACCCCCGCCGCCTAGGAGTAGAAATTAAGAAAACCTAGATAGTGTTTTTGCCTTTACCTCTGGGAAATTCAAAACTGCTACTTTGCCTTTTCCTTTTTCTAGTTCGGTGCTCCGGTTGTCAGATGTTGGAAGGCAGCAAGACAACAGACTCTCCGTGGTTTTATATCCGTTTGAGGTGCAGTGATTAACATTGAACTTTGGTTCCTGTAACTCTTGCCTGTGTCGATAGAGTTAAGCTGGGGAGTTTTGCTTTGAAGGGTAAAGAAAAGCGCAGCCTCTCAACTGGACATAAATGGATCTAAAGACAGCAGTCTTTAACGCAGCTCGGGATGGCAAACTCCGGCTTCTCACCAAGTTGTTGGCAAGCAAATCCAAAGAGGAGGTTTCCTCCTTGATCTCTGAGAAAACAAATGGAGCCACGCCACTCCTGATGGCCGCCAGGTATGGGCACCTTGACATGGTGGAGTTCCTCCTAGAGCAGTGCAGTGCCTCCATAGAAGTGGGGGGCTCGGTCAATTTTGACGGCGAAACCATCGAGGGGGCTCCCCCGCTGTGGGCCGCCTCTGCCGCGGGACATCTGAAGGTGGTGCAGTCTTTGTTAAATCATGGAGCATCTGTCAACAACACAACTTTAACCAATTCCACTCCTCTTCGAGCTGCCTGTTTCGATGGCCATTTGGAAATAGTGAAGTACCTTGTGGAACACAAAGCTGACTTGGAAGTTTCCAACCGACATGGGCATACGTGCTTGATGATTTCGTGTTACAAAGGACACAAAGAGATTGCTCAGTATTTACTTGAAAAGGGGGCAGATGTTAATAGAAAAAGCGTTAAAGGTGAGTTCACCTTCTTCATTTCTGCTTTCTAAGTGTTTATCATTATTTTCAGGAAGTCTGGTACCTAACTTTAACCAGTGGCTGCTGAGTCAGCCAACACTGACAGACCTGTTTTGATGAGGCGTCCCTTCCAGCATACCCTTGTTGGTCGTGTCTCCGGTATTTGAGAATATGTTGAACAAGTGTGATACAAAGACCTCAGTCACGATGTTAAGGGGCATTTTCTGTCCCTGATTTGGAGTCCTTTCCAATCCCTGGGTTCCCCAGAGTTACAGGGGATGTTAGTGGCAGTTGATCTGAGCCCTTAGGCTTGCATTGAATCCACTTGAGAATATACTTCAATGTAATGTTTTTTTCTCAGCTTTGGTGTTTTTTTGTTTTGTTTTGTTTTTTTAAGAACAGCGGTGGAGTAGAAACTACTATATTTAGTGAGTCATTGTCTTATGTGACTTAGCTAGGCATTTCGTTTGTTATTCTGTCGGGGAAGGCCAGGCCACACTGACCTGGAAGGATTAATACCAGTTGAAAAGGAGAAAATCTGTTCCCTTATTCTCTGTTTATTGTGTGGCCAATAGAAAAACCTTTCACATAGAACATGTATTAAAAATAGCAAGAGAGAAAAGAGATTTTAAAAACTGCTGCAATCCTGAGAGCAAAACAAGGACTAGGTTAGACAGACTTGGATTTGTTGGCTAGCAACAGTGTAAACACCTTTGTCCAAAAGAAGAGCTCAGGTTTACTGTTGGGTGTAATTTTCAGGGATTGTAATAAGCCTAAAGCAGAAAATGATAGTTGAGAATTTTGTTTTTGAGACTTTTAAAAACAGCTGTTTTGGTCACATATTTTGATACTTGGAAACCCTTTTTTCCCCTTCATATTTATTTATACAACAGCAAAGTAATTTGCTGCCCCATTTAAAAAAAAAACAAAACTGTTAAAAGTAGCCTACCTGTATGTAAAAAAAGAAAATTCAAACAATTCAAATTGATTGACCATGTTCACAATGAAAAAATCTTACCACCCCTGATTTCTAGACCTCCAGCCCACTGGCAAGCTACTATTTATAAGCGCTATTTACGGGGTTTTGTGTGTCCTGGAGATGGTCTGTGCAAACACAGGTACACTTGTCTATGTCTCTTCCTTCCCCTTTCCCTTCTGTTAGTTGATACATACTGGTTTTTTGTTTTGTTTTTTTTTTAAACCTTAAATTATCTTGGATGTCATTCAACTCCAACACACAGAACTGCCTCATTCTGTGTGGCGGCTGCACAGTATTTCATTGTATGAATCTACATAATTTATCTAGGCCCTGTTGATGGACAGTTAGGTCACATCCAGTGCAAGCAGTGCTTCTGTAAATATTCTTGAACAAAAGTGTGTCTTTGCACACTTGGGTGAGAATAGCTGTAGGATAGATACCTGTAAGTGGGATTGCTGAATCAAAGTGTGCATTTATCATTGTCATGGTGTCTGATTGCCTTTCAGGGAGGCTAAACCACACCATTATGGGACAGTACGTAGTTATTGGACAGATTTTACTGAAATTAGTATGGTCTTTTTTTTTTTTTTGAAAGGTTTGATATAAAATGATGCAGGCTCATTGTGATTTTCTGTAAATTTTTTTTTTCAGAGAAAATATAAAAATCTCACAAAATGCCACTTAAGAGATAATCGTCCCAAAGATATTTCTGAATTTATTATATACATAGATGTATGTAATTTTATTTTATATGCTCTTTTCTAACCTTTTTTTTAGCTTAATCAGTAATATCTTTAATGGCATTAATTACAGCCCTTTAATTTCAAGCTGCCTACTCTCCTAATGGAGTTTTCTGTTGCTTCTGGTTTTTCAGTAGGAGACAAAATGTTTCTGTAGACCTTCTTTCTTAGACATTTTTTTCATTTGTTCCTGATTATCTCTTTGAGGTGGGTTGTTGGCTTAGAAGACAGCGTGACATTTTTGTTTGTTTTAAACATTCATTCCTTGAAAGAATGCTGTTTTTTAAGAGAACAGTTACTGTTTATGTGACCATGTTATTATCGGGAATGCTTTGAAATCATAACTAGCAGAGAAAGTGTTAGAAGGTATGGATGGCTGTTTGTTTAGGCTTGTCGGATTTTTTGTTTCTTTGTTTTGGGCTTTTTATTCATTCAACATATAGATTGTCGAACTTACATATTTAAGTGAAGTTGTTTTGAACTCTTAGGTCACTGGAGAGATGAGTAGTAGTGGTACTGTTTCCCTTATGGATTTCAAAGTTGCTTTGTATAGTCTTCTGGAGATAGAATGTGTGCGAGAACTGTACTATAAGTAGCTCATATTCCTGTGATCATTTTCCCCTGATGAACTGAAAGGTATCTAACTCGATTACCTTTGCTTTTTCAGAAGAATGTTCCTTTTATCACCATCATCATACGGCCTTGTATGTGAGGATGTGGTCAGATGATCTAATTCTAGAGTTGTTTTTGGTCAAATGATCTAATTTTAGAGTCCTTCCACCCCACCCCCTGTATCAGTATCTAGTACTTGTGCCTTTCAAAAAAATTACATGTAACATGAGAAAACAGTTTTATACCAAAAACTGTTTTCAGATAGTGTCAATTTTGTATACCTACAAATATATATCATATATCTATGTATGTAAATATGTGTGTGTGTATGTGTGCAGTGCTTTTTACCTATTATGGTCCCTTTTAATTTTGACAGTGACTCTTAATTAAATTGGGGGCAGATTAAAGTGTATATGCACCCTCCCCCACTCTGATCCCGAAACTTCCATTCTTTGATAATCACTCTCTCACTGGCTCTAGATTTTTTTTTATGGGTCGGTGCATAATAAAAAAGCAAGAACCAACTGAAACTGAGGCAGGAACACTGGCAAAGGGTCTATCTGATAGAGCATCAAGAAAGGATCCCCCCCTGCACACACACATTTTCGCCCTATCCAAGAAGTAGTAGAAAAGAGTGATGAGATTGGGATAAAATGGAATAGTTTCTTAGGGAATGGTATATGTCAGCTGTTGGAAATTGTTGTGAAGGAAGAAACCACCAGTAGATTATGCTCAGTCTACTTAAACATCAAATGCACATGACTTCTACATTCCATTACTTTTTAACAGGCAGTTGGCATTTAAATATACTATTTTAACTTTTTTCTCCCCATGACTTTTTAACAGGCTGTTGGCATTTCGAACAGGTTTTAGCCAACGGTGGAATTCATTCTCTCATTCTCTCAGAGAGCACTTCCTGAGTCCCTCAGTGTACCAGGCTGTTAGACTTTAGGATATCCAGAGCTGAGTAAGACAGCCTTTCCAGTCCTTGACTCCTTGCTCTTGAGCTCATGGTTCGGTGGAAGAGACAGGTTCGAATGTAGGTACTTAAACCATAGTAGGCTAAGTGCAGCAACAGTGAGTGCTTTCTTGTATTTGATTCTTGGAAATACTTAATCACTGACCAGCTCATTACCTGCGGGGACGGTGGGTTCTTTGTTTTCTCATGGCATTCACAAAGAGGAGAAAAACTTTGAGATATTTAGGAATACGTCTCCAGTTTAACACAGCAGTTGATTTTTGCAGCAGGAGAGTGGGTTGCTATTTAAAACCGTAGACCCCAAATCAGAAGTGATTAGACAAGCCCATAGAGCCACCACATTGACTTCAGCACTTCATGGTTACGGTCATCTTTGGCTTGCTTTGTTTTCCCTCTCTCTCTTTTTTTTTTTTTTTTTAATGTTATTGTTGGATTCAGAATAGGATCTCTGGTAAAGTTACGTTAGCCCTTCAGTTCTGCTTTTACACGCAGATACCACTGGGCAGTGATTTGAGTACTACAGACCAGTAGAAGAACTTCTCTGAGTTGGGTTTGGGGAGACTGGCCCTAAGAGGCAGGCTGTGCTCCTGCATGGGTTAGTCTTTTTAAATACCCAAAGGTAATTAGGTAAATTGGTAATAAGATAATCACCGTGCATTTTCTGTAGGCAAGACATTGTGTTGGACATTGTGGAGGCTTATGAGAAGATAAGGACGTTGCATTTGTTAACTGCTAAAGGAATAGTGTGAATCTCTGCTGATGGGTTTTAGGAGTGTGATCTTCATGGAGACATTGAACTGGGCCTTGAAAGGATTGTCAGGGTTCAGATCCGTAGAGTGCATTTGATAGTTTTAAAGGCTTACTTAGGAAATGGCATAAGGAAAGGCACATTGAGAACGTTGGAGGATCCAGGAAGTGGAAAAGTAGGCATATTTGGACCAAAGGGCACTCAGGACTAGATTATAAAGGACATTGACTTCTAGGAAAAGGAGTTTGATTCTCTGTGCAGAGGTAAGCTAGTGAAAAGTTTTCAGCTGAGAAATAACTGGGATTTTTTTGCCAGGGGGAACCCACCTAACTGCATTCTAATTCTATTACATTGTGAGCTCTTTAAGGCTAGAGGCCTGGTGTTTGTATCCATGTGGTGTTAGACAGTGTCTGGTTCATAGTGGGTATTTGGTAAATGAAGTTTGTTGAATGAAAGAGGTTGGATTTAAGAGAGAAAGGATTATAAACTCCCTGATGGCAAGCACTGTTTTGTTGTTCTTTCACTACGGAAATAAATCCATACATGAAGATGTGAAGTAAGAAATGAAGACCATAACTATGAAAAATGAGCAGTACAGATAGAACTCCAGAAATGGGAGAAATTCATGTAGGCTCATAAGTAGAGCTGGCTTTCAAAGGGTTGGAGAGAGAGCTAGTTCAGGCAATTTATCGGCCTTTTTATTATGGAAATTTTCTAATTTCTGTGTAAGTGGAGAGAAGAATATGACTCGAACCACTGTGTACTTATCACCTTGCTTCAACAGTTATCCACATTTGCCAACGTTTTAAAAAATATATTTCTCTCTCCTCTCCTTTTGTTTTCTGCAGTAGTTTAAAGCAAACCCCAGGCATGTTATATCACTTGTCTCCCATAGTATAGGCATTTTAGGGGATAGATGTATTTCAGTCAAGAAAATGTGAA